GTAAGACCTGTGCCAGGTTTTACTGGAGCAGTTCCATTTTCTTCTATCCACCCCTTGAACACGCAACCAAAACCACCTTCACCAAGAAGACTTTCAGGTCTGAAATTTCTTGTTGCCAATTTAAGATCAATAAATGTGAATTTTCGCAACCGTGAAGCAACTTTAAGTTCCTCTTCAAGTTTGGAAGTGGATGCATTACTTTCTGTATTACTAGTGGTTGATGAAGAGACTACAGTAGCTGTTGGTTGGTCTCTGCTTGTATCATTTATAGATTTAATTTCTGCACACACCAAAAAGAAACATTTGACAACTGATAAAAACATGATTTCATAATCGCACTAAGTTGAAAACATGTAACCATTAAGCAAATTAAGTTTAAAGCATACGTAGGATTTGATGTAAGAGATTATTCTAGAAGACAAGTACACACAGCTGAAGAAATGCACAAAAAGATATACCAAATTCTGTGTGTTTGATAAGAGTATCAGCTGTCCAACACAGAATAGAATATCAAATAGAACTGCTCAAACTATCATATAAGTCAGTAGCGTTCAATAGGAATTTAGAAGACCATCGAAATTAGACGCCGTGACGACAGCCATCTGACATGGGCCATGTATCTTAAAAAACCAGTTTATATCTAGAATCACTATATATTTAACTCAACAACCACTCTTCCAACCCCAGGAAAATGTTGCTAAAGCCATAATTTTCCATCCCAGTATGATACAGACTCACCTCTGCTACCAAAATTTCATCTGCATGCCCAATCTTTTCCTTGCCAATTCCGTAATTATCAACCTCACTGTTCCTAACTCACACAGATTGAGCCTTCCTAGTTGCTGATTAGTTTTCATAACCTTCCACACAAGACAGACCTAATTTGTTGGTTGACAATCCTCAGAAGAAGCAGATAAGTTATACAAAGCATACAACAAACCAAAAGAGAGTGAAAACTACAGGATAGTACAGTATCAGGATACCCAAGCCTTCATCCTTCAATAAGGCGGAATGCACTTCAAGTTTTCGCAAACATGTGTCTTACGTATTTATTTAGTCATACAGTCTGGAATCAAGATATTGTTTTCGCGCTATAGGAAGCCCAGCAAAGAGGGATAACTCTTGTTCTCAAAAGCAAGCTCACATGTTTCTGTGGAATGTTTCTTTCAGGATCAAGAGGCTTTTTCAGCCACCAATCAGGTTATTCTCGAATGAGAAACCAAAAAAGCTCAACTGGGTTTCATCTCTAGACTCTAAACCCCCCCCCCCCCCCTCTCCAAAACGCAAATTTTACCACGGTAACTGCAGGTATATTTAAAAAAAAAACTGGGAATTTCCATGCTTTAAAATCCACCAGGAGCAAAGCTCTTTGGATTGACGAAGTAGTATAATGCAGTCAACTTATGGGCAACTACTTACAGAATCTCCACGCTAAATTTGCTTATCCTATGACTGACAAAGTAAGAACTCTCAGATTACACAACACAAGCTCAAACAGAAACAACAGAACAATCCCAAAAAGCAATCAATCTCAAGTCTCAACAAGCAAACTTGAAAGCATATGAGCTACTAAAAAAAGTGATTCCAAGAAAAGCAGAAAGTTACCACCACAGTGAGTAGCACTGGTCCCACTGGTTGAGCTATCGACTTTGGATCTTGAAGAAATGCAGCTCCCAAAGAACCTCAGCCTAACCCAACACCCACTCCCCTCCTCCTCCACGTCATCATCATCATCCCCATCAGCTTTGTGCTTCTTCTTCCTCCGCACCTTCGATTTGCTAATGTCCCAGGCCTCCACTTTACCATCCTCAGCTTTCAAACCCATTTCACAAACCCTAAAAACAATCAAATCCCGATACCATCAAACACCCAAATCCACCACCCTTCCCACCGCCGCAGAACCACCCAGAAACGTCTCTAGCCGCCGCCGACACAACCCATATGAAAACCCACCAAAATCTCTGAAATTTCCGAACTTTACAAAAACCCAACTGAATTTAGAGGAAAAAAAAGACGTCCCAGCTGAGAAAATAGCTAGATCACGCAGAAAGTAGATCAAATTCGACGAACCCTTGAAGTGAAATCGACCAGCTCGCGAGGAAAATGGGAAAAAACCAAAATACCCAATAGAAAAGTGTCCGTTTTTATCAGAAAGGAACAGCGAAATCTTCAGTTTTAACCCAGAAATGTCTGCAGAAATCTCAGAAAATACTCCCACAAGCTGACCAGTTTAAAGTTGGGTGAAAAAATAAATAATATTTTTTTGGGGACCAAAAATAATAAATAATTTGATAAAATACCCTTACAAGACACATATAATATTCCGAATTATCGATTCTCTCTCTTCATTTTTTAAAGCTATTTTTAATGGAACCGAAGACTAGAAAAGGGCCAATCGAGCTGCCGGAGAAAACGGGCAGCTGGTATGGGCTGCCCATTGTGTTGCTGGACCGTACGAGGTGCAAGTCTTTGGAGAAATTTTTAATTGTGACGAGAACATAAGTGATACATCACGTGTTTTAATAGGAATGATGAGAAATTTTATTTTTTAAGTTATTAACTTTTTAGCACACATATCCCACAATTTATATAATGATATGTGATGTAACCATCCTTTATACTAGTCACACTGAAAAATCTCTCAAATGTCTGAGGCTACGGAAAAGAGGGAAGGGGGCGGGCAGTTCGGGCAGGGGGAGAAGGGAAAAGTAGGAACAGTTCGGGCAGGAGAGAGAAAGGAAGAGGTGGGACCCAGTCGGATGGTGACGTGTCTGGCTGGGTGGGCGGACGGAAACGCCCGCGTCAGGTTTAAATCATCACTACTCAGAACCTGCAAAATCTTGCAATGCATGCATCTAATTATTCTCATCTTTTTTTTATTTATTTATTTATTTTTTTTCGAATTTTCAACTTGTTTTTGTTATGCTAAAATTAAAAAGTATTTCCGAATCTTATTTAATTCTACGAGTCACGGATTCGTGGAGTTGGAAAACAAAACAGTGTTGACAATTTAAAAAAAAAAAATTTTTAAATAATAATATCATTTTTGTTTTCTAATTTTGTATTGGTGAGAGAGGGATGGTCAATTATTGAATAGATGTAGATAATGCGATAAAACCCATAAACAAAAAAAGGTAATGGCAGGCATTATCTTGTTGTTCGATTGAGAGGGAAATGAGTTCATATTGGAAAAAAGGAGATTGTAAAAATCACTAGTAATCAAGAATTATAAGTGATCTAACTAGTATATGCTTTTACATTAAAAAACAAAATTTAAAAAAAATGCAAAAAGCGTGCAAAAAACAAAAATATTTCGCGTCTAAATTTATGATTGTTGATGAAAATAAAGATATTTTGGCTATTGATGCCAAACCCAAGCCATCATGGATAGAGGAGTTTAAATCTTCTGCAATTAAAATTTTGTGGCCTATTTGTGTCTTGTCACTTGAATGACATGTATTCTTTTGGCTTTATTTATCTTTAGTTTGTTTTTTTTTTTAGGGGTGTGATATCCACACACCGTTTTTTACTTCTCTCACACATTTTTAGTTTTCGTCCGTTGGATCGGAGGAATTGAAGAAAATCAACGGACATAAATTAACAAGAGGTGTGTGAGAAGTAAAAATGGGTATGTGGATAGCACACCCCTTTTTTATTGAGAAGATAAGTTCAAGAGTTAATACTGTTAAACAAAGATTAAATGAATTGTCAGGTGTCAGCGAATGATAAGTTATAAAGATGTCGAATTTTGGGTGCAGAAGATTTGATCTCGGCTAGGAGAAGTACTGTGAGCTAAATTAAAAGGAGGATAAGATTAAGATTTAGATTAAGGTATTGACATTATTAGTTTGTTTATTAGTTTTAAGAAATGTGAGTTGAGATTAAGGTCTTAGCGTGCAACGCAAAGATTGACTTCCAACTTCCAATATGCTTATTATTCTTCTTTTTTTTATCCAATAAGAATGTTGTGCCTGCATTTTTTTTTAATGTTCAATGATTATTTTAATTTTAAATTAATAAAAATAAAAACGAGAAAATGTGACAAAAAATAAGAGTGTGAAAGTTACTCGTTTTCGTAGAAAACAAAATATCTTTCCTCTAAACTTGTCACTCTTGACTACCAAAAATGGAGAAGAAAACAAACTTTTTACTACATAGTAACTGAATCCAAAAATAGAGTTTGGAACAGTAAGAAGCACATGGGTATACCTAATTATACCAACACCAAGTTTGACATGAATATAATCACATGTATGAACTGCCGACTTTGTTCCTGAATTATCATCTGAATAAAAATTAGTTCCAAAACTATTTTTTTCGGAGAAGCCAGTCCTTAAACTAATAAAAATTTGCCAATTACATCTGTAACATTAGATTTGAAGCTATTTTATTCAATTTTCCTTCCACATAAGCCACATGACGCATTTTACAAAGTAATAACATTATTTTCTCGCCTATAAACCCTTAAAGTTGCATATAAGTTGACGAAAAAAAAAAGGATAAAATAATTATGAATATAATAATAGTGATAAAATTAGTAGTTTTTAATGAATTTATGATATTATTTTATAAAAAAAAAAAATTTAAGAACTTAATTTTCAATGAAGTAATAACTAAGCGACTAAATCAAAAGTTCACTCTAATTACAATTTTTTTTTTTTTTGGAAACATTACATTTTACAACTTAATTTCATATGATTATTACCCAATGTTAAATGATGATTGGGATTTGGGGGAGTAGGCCAACCTGTCCTGTATCATGCCATAAGGTTAAGGGATCAAAGTTGAAAACCACAACTCTGTCAATATCATCTGCCTGGATTTTCAGAAATTGCCATTATTTATTTTGTTTTTCAAATTTTAGTATGAATGTCAATGGTCGTACATAAAAAAAATTAATAAAAAAATCTTATTTTATACATCTATATATTTATTTATTTTGTTGAAATCACGAGTCTCAACCTCTAAACAAGACTTTTACTGGGTGTGCTACTGCGACAATATAAATAACGCACTATGTTTGAAAAATTAAAACAAATAACATTACATCATTAGTTTAATATACTGTATAGTCACGTAGCTATTGCGACAATATAAATAACGCACTGTGTTTGAAAAATTAAAACAAATAACATTCCGTCATTAGTTTAATATACCGTATAGTCACGTAGCGGGTGCACGTAAGGTCCTCGTGAAAATGTTGCGAGAGGCATCGCATCATATGGTGGGGAAATTTTTCATACAATTGGTTGGAAATTTTGTTTTCAGTTTCCAAACAATTGTACTATTACACGTGATGTATCCGGCCGTGATCCAGAGAGACACTGAAAAAGTTGAACAAAAAAATTGAACGAAAATAATGAGCCAATATTACCACGTATAAAACTAAATGAAAAGCTCTATAATTTTTTCCTGTATAAAATGATTACATCTCTCACACAAGTAAGATTCGTCTACAGAGAATAGAGCCTCCCATCGAAGGGATATTTTGTAACAATCCCTACCCTCTCCCAAACCACCATTTACAACACACACACACGGGGAAATTGTATTTATAGAACGATTGACATGAGAATCTCGACTGAACAAAGCAAACGGAAACCCCGGTGCGGTACCTGTTGCCAAGAGCCTGATGCTGGATGACTACACATGCGACGGCTCAAAATTCTTCCACGGCTCGGGTTAAAATGGGAGGATGAAATGCATGCTGCACTGTATGTTTCCTAAAGAATCCCCGTGGAAATGCTGGAAGTCGCATTAATCTTCAGTGAGTACTCGGGTATGTAGGTAACACCTGTCGTGCAAGAAAATGATACTCGATCAGAACAACATATGCATCGGTTGGAGGTTCGCACTTAAGTAAGGATAACCCTCAGGTATGATTGGAATATTGTGTTGAGAGAGGAACCAGAGAGAAAGCAGAAAACCAGCCAAAGTGCCTTCTGGATACTGATTCGTTATTGATTAAATTAACCGCCAGATACTTGTGCCCAATTTTTTTCCTGATGCTCCATCGTTAAGCAGTCAAACTAGCGGACCTAGAATCCATGAGAATACACCTATACAAGTGCTATTTATCTTCTTTTCAGACCTATGAATAACAATGGTCTTTTAACACTCAAGGCGGGAAAAATTTGAACAGTAGGACTGTAGAATACTCCCCCTAAGCATCAACTAATCATCCTAGCGTAGCACTTAATTTTGCTAGACATGAAAATGCATAAACCACTCATTCTTCCGACAGTGATGCATGGGAAACAAAAATGGTAGAAATAATGAGATGTTTACCTTTTTCCTTGACATCAATTTGCAGAGTGTCCAGTGTAATTATACCATCCGTCAATGGAAGTAGCTCAAGCTTGATGGTTGCCATAGATTGAGATGGGACACACCTGATGTGACCATAGAAAATTATAATAACTGAAATATCAATGAATATGAAACGAAAAGAAGATAAGAAAATGGAGCATTACCCTAGTGGAACTCTACTCTGAAGCCACAGATGTGTACAACACAGACCAGTGCTTGGAATGGCATCAGACAATGGAGAAGTCTGTTCGCTAAAAGAAGCTGGCCAAACTCCACCTTTAACATTTTGTTTCTGATTGTCCGAAAGGAGTGGTGAGCTTAGCCTCTGTATTGTAGGACTTTTTCCTGTATACTCAGGAAAACTTAAAAATGGACTCATTGGTGAAGCACGGGAAGAATTCAAGGAGACCACTGAAGGAGGGGAAGTGAATGAAGCTGGAGCAAGAACTGTTAGATTTAGATCTTCTGACATTAGATTTGAAACCTGGAGAGTCAAGACCTGCAAAATTGAAAAGTTGAATGAACCTAATACAACGTGAAAAAAGGAAATCCCCCAAAGACACATTTGAGCTACTAAGTATTTGAAACCTGAACAGGAAGCTGAGAGACTCCTCCGTTGGGTGCACTAGATTGTCCGGACATTTCAGATGCAACAGAGATCATAAGATCCCTTGAAACACGCGGACACCAACTTGTTGGCTGTTTGAAAAATAATCTTGACCCTGCAGATGTAACATAAAAGGAGAAGAATTAGAAATTAAAACTTAGGTCCTCCAAATATGGAACACTGAGAGATATATAATTACCAGTGTAGTTGCACCGACATGATACCATAATTGCGTACTGATCAGCAGTTGAAGCACTCTTCTTTCCTTCAACAGTCTTGGGCGGCAGACGCAAGCTTGGTGCTGCATTTCCAGCCTGTAGTTGTGATGAGTGATTTCTTCTATCACCACCAGCCTTGAAATTCTTCCACAAGGATGTTGCTGGTTTAAGAATAAAGGAATGCTCTTCACCTCTCCTGCCATGAGAAACTTTAATGAGAAGAGAACAAATAAACTTGGGATTCCAAAAGCTATACATCTTTCTTCAAAAAATGTGTGATGTAACATATGAGTTTCAAATTCTAAAGATATGAAGCTCCAACTTTATTCCAGAATGATGGTGCCCTTTTTCTATGTCACTAAGTTTGCATTTGCTGTATCAAACCTGGTATCAGAGTAGCCAGAGGTTGTTTTATCAAACTAGATGCAAGTCTTTTTTTTTTCTTCCCTTTTTCTCAGGCATCTAAGCTCTTTCTAAGTTCAAGAGAATTTGCCAACTGTTATACATGCAAAGGAATTTCTTCTATGTGAACATATAGTACTAGGGATTTCGCCCGACCAATATAATTTTCTAATCCTAGACATTAATGTGATCAAGAAAGGCACAATCACAATGAAAAAATGAAGTTTTTGTATTAAGGAAAACTACAGTATGAAATGAAAACCAAATTGAGATACCAAAGACATAACAACAACCTGAGGGCAAGATTTGGCAAACTGTGATCATTTCCTGCTTCAATACATGCAATTGGTAATGATAAGGATTGTCCACCTTTCGAAGCCTCCTCAAAAACAATTGTTATAGCATCAATATACACCACAATATTTGGTGCATGTGCTGGAGAAACATTCTGCACAACAAAAGGGTAGCTTAATAGGAATGTGAGACGAAGCCTAGTAAACATGTCATTCCTAACAAAGTGTTAGACATTATAAAAAAATAAGGCAAAAACAAGTATTAACCCATGTTCTGAAGAAATATTCTGCAAAACAAAATGATAACTTAATAGGAATGTGAAACAAAGCATACAAACATGTCATTTCGAACAAGCGTGATTAGATATTATCAAAATCCAGGAGGAAAAAAAAACATATTTAACAAACACCTCGATCTAGTCAATCATTGCTCACACCTTTATCTGGACACAAAGAAGGTCATCTGTATTGCAGTCAGCAGCAAAAGAATGGATTTCTACCGGTTGTATGATTTCAAGTTTTCTCCTCCATCTTCTTCCAGGTATATAGATTCCCTCCAATCCACAACGAACAGAAAATCTTTCTCGCTCCAATGACACGCCTCGAAAAGATAAAAGCCCCTCGCCACCAGTTTTTTGATTCTTCAAGAACTTCTGAGATGAATACTGATCCCAGTCTTCAAGATCAAAGCTTGGCTTAGAACTTGCAGCTTTAATAGGTCCCGGTGGTGGTGTAGTATTTTGTGGTAATGATGACATGGAGTAACTTCTAAAATGGGATAAGAGTTGAGAACCAGATTTTTGAGATGTGCTACCAATTGCTGAATTGGAAGTTAAAGGAGGAGATAAAGGTTGAGCAGGAGGTGGAAGGGTGTTATCCAAAGGAAGCAACCATTTCAACAATTCTCCACATGGGTCCTGATTTGCATCAACTAAGCTGTCCTGAGTCTGAGCAAACAAACTTCTCTCACGATATTTCTCAAACTGAAGAATCTCAATAACAGGGTCATTCAAAAAATCTACACCAACATTCACTTGTAAAAGAACCTGCATCCTTCCAAACAAGAAAATGGAATGAGAATAAGTGATCTGAACAACTGCTTACACTAGCCATGAATGTGAGAGGAAAAAGAAAATATAGAATATTTTAAAATGGAAGGGTCATGAATTTGTTATCAGAGTTACACGACTCTTACTTATTTTAGTACCAAAAAAGACCCACCAGGGCTTTTCTCCTGTTGAACCTTGCAGGAAGCTTAAAAACTAAAGCTGCATGAATATGGTGGAAATTCTACTCTAAACTTTCAGCTAACAAATGAGGACCAACAAACCAGCAAAAAGCGTACATGGGTTCTTCAATGTATACCTAAAAACCTGCTAAACATACCTCTCTATTATTCTATTAACAATTTTTGTTTTCCTACAGTAACCTGAAAACAAAATTATTGGAATACAAGCACAGAATAACATAAACCTAAAAAGAATTCCGGTGGTAGAGTCATTGCCAGTGAGCCATGGTCAACCTAAGAAAACGATAGATAAAATTATGAGACGATTATAGGGGGTTAAGTGTGAAGACTAGCTGGATGGGTAAGCAAAACCTTTGGTGCAGATAGAAGCTCACCACTTTTTCACCCTATAAACAATGTCCCAATATCTTTTAGATATTTTGTTTCTCAAGCGGGTTGAAGTACGATATGAATATACATATGGTGTGTGTGCGTGTGCACGAGCATGTATACAACACAAAATATGTATGTATACAATGAATAACCTACAAGCTTCATTACACATACCACTATGTCACCATTAGAAAGAGAGCAACACTTGACATTATTTCTTGCTACGCCTCCAGATACATTGGGATCAAAATTCCCTTTATCAATAATGGCATTTACTGCAGTTTTCTGGGTTCCATTTTCCATGTACTCTTGACCATCCGCCTCAACGGATTCTGAAGACTTCTTAGAAGTACTTTTTTTTGCCCAAAGTGCCTCACTTGACTCTGCAATCCTAACAAAAAAATGAGACCTTTCGAATCTTTGCAATAAAATTTCAGTCTGTCTTTTGTGATCCTCCATTCTGAGAAGAGATTCACTAGCAGAAACATCCTTTTGTGAATCAGTCCCCTCTTTTGAAAGGGTTTCACCATTTTGATCGGTACCTTGACTGTTAGGACTCATATCTCCTTTTCCCAACAATGTACCATTGCTATCTTCCACATTTCGATTTTGTTTCTTTGGACTTAGTCTTATGCCATTTTTATTCATGGCTGCAGCCAATTTAAAGGGAGTAATAATTTCTGTGTCCTGCTTACATGCTGACAAGCATGCAAGGATGTGAACTTGTTCACCTGGATTAAAAATTAGATTTCAGGTCCTAATAAAGGATGAATCCTCCATGTGAAGAATAAAATCCATGTCAAAACCAAAAGAGTCGGGAGATTGAAGAACTACCAGGGAAAACAAAGGAGCGGTCCAGAGGGCGTAATGACTGTATATCTGGTGCATCATTCCAATTATCAGGGAGTTCTTCTGCAAGAGCAAAACAAGCTTTAGACATATTAGTTTATAATCACCATGATAGAATTACGCATTTAATACATAATATAAACACTCAGTCAACTATATATGTGTATATCATAACTCAGTTTATGTGCACACCTATAAGAGCACATGCAGTCCGACACTATGCAAATTATCAGAACATAGTTGAGTGTAATGGAAAGCACTTACTGTATGGAATGGCAATCCATCCCTCCTCATCAGAGACATCATAATGCTTTGCTATGATAGAGGTTTCCTTCTGTGCACCAATTCCATTTTCACCACTAGATTCACTTTCTGCAGCATTATCTTCGGTTGTGGAATACTGTGGATATGAATCTTCAGCAATTAGACCCTCCAAGGTTGTTGCTGATTTTGGGGTAGGATACGTCTCTGCAGGTGGTTCGTGGACAGGAGGCACAGGCGGTACAGACAGAACAGATGGCTGTTCTGCCGTCACACGCTGTACATGGTGAGTAGATCGCATAAGAAAATTCATTGTCCCACCACTGCAAAATCCATAAATGTTGTCAGTCAAACGAAACAGGGGTTACGTTAAACAAGCGAATGTGTATGTATGTATAGCTTGAACATGTGAACCCATGCCGATAAGACTGGTAAGAACTCTCATTGAAACGGGACTTAAAGTGCCTAGCAAGAGAAATTCACGCCCGAAAATTCTCCATCACCTTCCCAAACACTTTTCCCATACACCCGAATTTTCGACACACGCAATCAAATGCCAATGGAAAGCCATCCAAATCAGAGGCTTTTACCACACTACAACAATGGCCCTTGATCAAACAGTTCAAATACTCTAAATCTCAAATCACGATTCTTGAATCATGGAATATGTATAACAAAAAAAAAGCTCTAAAATCTTCACAACCCATTACGAAATCTATACTGCTATTTCTGGTTCCCTGGATTCGGCATTGGAATTGAATTTCGAGACTGACCTTCCAATGCCGAATCCAGCAGCAAATGGCAGAGAATTCAAAGTCTAAATTCTATTTAGCTGTTCATCAGAACCAAATATACTGACCTGAGATCGAGTCCTCCGTCGAACCTCGGCGGTGATCGCAATCCCGGAAAGTTTCGAAGCTGAAAACCCTAATTGTTCGATTCCGGTGCTTCTCTACCTGCAATGTCCGAATCGTAAGCTCCGGAAGTTAAACGACGGTGATGCGACGGTGGAGTGCGATCAGAGTTCAGATGGGACAGTCTGCGAGCTCTGATTGTAGACTTCCGGGTTCGAATTCACCACTGCGGTGCCACCATAACCGTCACTGTAAAATGAAGAAAATAGTTTGTTGGTTTTTTGGTCGGAAACTTTCAAAATCATGAAGCCCAAAAGAGAAGGAAACTACCAAAATCGGCCCAAACGAATTGGGCCCAAATTGCAGATTTTCCTTTTCTCTTTTTTTTTTTTGGTAAATAAATATTTAAAATTATTCTAATCTCTCTTTTTCTTTTCTTTTTTTTGGGTAAATCAATGAAGCCGGTACTTCTCTCTTGTTCTTTGTCATCTCATTCTATAAGCCATTAAGAGCTAGTTTAAGATTGTTATGCTGCGAAAAAATAAAAAATGTTTTCAGAAGCAGGAGGAGCTGTTTTTGTTTTCTACTATTTTGGATCCATAATTTTGAGAAAAAAAAAATTTTAATTTACTAAACACAATTTTTACCTCAAATTTAAAAAAAAAAACTGTTTTTTTTTAATTTTAAATTCAACAGTACTAAACTAGCCCCAAAGGAACTACACATGATGACGAGAATTGAATAAGTATGATTAGAGTCGATCACTGTATTTTCGAACTCAAAACCCAATTTTGTTTTGTTAACCCAACTTGGTTTGACAATGACTACTATAACCCACAGAAATTAGTTAAAACAAGTCTGATTAAGATGTGTAATAATAAATGGTTTGGATCAAATAATTGGAGTGAAGTCGAAGCTGGAAGCTGGGGTGGTCCACGTGTGCAAATATGAGTGGTTCCATTGTAAGCCAAACCGAAGGCGGGTTAGTTGAAACCGATGGTGGCGTGTGTCGGTGTGTGGGATGAGGATCGCCGACGTCCCCCACCACAACGCCCCCACAACAATGACAAAGGAAAGTTCCTTATGGTCATTTTTCCCACAATTACCATGCATTTCTCTCTATTTTTTTTTTTAAGTACAAGTAAGTTGCTTTCTCGATTGCTTTAGGAAAAAATTGTCACTCTAATGGAACATGCAAGCAAAGTAACAAAAATTATTTTATTATTTACTTATTATCCTTTGACGAAAAGTGTTGGAATTTAAACATCCTTAACAGTGGTATGCTATTAAAGTTCAAGGAATTTTTTTATAGGATTGCAATAAGGCCAACAACGCTTTTTGGCACGAAATGTTGGGCGGTCAAGTATCAACACGTGCATAAACTAAGTGTATGAGAGATGAGAATGTTTCGTTGAATATGTGGGCGTACGAGAAATTATAAGATTAAGAAACAATGATATCTTAGGTAAAGTAGGAGTTGCTCCAATTGAAGATAAGATGAAAGAAAGTCGATTAAGATGATTTGAATATATGAACAAAATACCTACAAATGCTCCGGTTAGAATTGTAGTTAAGAAATGGAAGTTCTAAGTTAAAACCGAGTTAAATTAATACAATGAGAAGCAAAGTTTGTATTTTTTTTCGTACAAAGGATAAGGGGTATGCTATTCATACAACTCATTTTACTTCACACATACCCCTTGATAATTTTTTTCCGTTGATCTTTTTGAATTCATCTGATCCAACGATCGAAAATTAAAAAGGTGTGTGAGAAGTAAAATAGGATGTGTGGATATCACAACCCAAGGATAATTATCTATATTAAGGGGTGAGAGTTAAACCTCACAATGAACTATAAATAATGTGGTTCAAATTCATCATAGACGAATCAAACTTAAACATTTTTACTTACAACTAAAGAAGAATATCATTAAACTGTAGTGCTAAATAACATTAAAAAGCAAAGTATTCAAAATGAAACACAAGTCTACACCACACGTACATTGTAAAGAACTCGAATCTTCTTTGTGAGGATCTTGAGAATTCGTCAATAATGTCGGTTTATCATACATCTTACGGTCATAAATTATTTTAAATATTTTTATTTAAAATTAAATATAAATAATACTTAACAAAAAAGGATCGTACGATGTACAAAAAATAAACACAATTTACGCATCCCTATCATCATCGTCAGAGCGGAGATATCCTGTTGGCGTTGTAAAGTTACTGAAATCCACATACGCACACAATCCCAGGTTGGTGTCATCGCAATTCCGAATGCAAGTGGTTGTCGTAACTCTTGTCCTTTTCATGTTAAAACCATAAAGTGACAAGAACTTAATTAAACTCCACCCCAAAGTGAATAAAATAACCAGAGCAAAATTAATCACGGTGAGAATCCTTTTGAGTAAGCCGGATCATTAAAATTTTATCCAACGATTATAAATAAGAAATCTTCTAAAAATTATAATAATTATAACCGTTAGATAAAATTTTAATGATCTGATAGACTTGCTCAAAAGAATCCTTACCCTTAACTCAAGAGATGATCCTAATCCAAATTAATCAACTGATGTTAAAATTAATTATTAATTAATAAAATAAATTAAAGTGTTTTAATTTGTGACTCTGCACAGCTGCTACCCCCTTTCTGTCTCGTGAGTTTCTACACACTACTGTACAGATTTATATATTTTTCCCACTAATTAAACAGCAAACGATTGATGGGTATTTCTCAGCGATTATTGTTCATTCGAAATCACAACAACCTGCACTAGATATTTTCTGAATTTAAAGATCCTGATGGCTTCCCCTTTGCTATAAGCTCACTCTCTCACAAGAAATGTTCATCAAAGCTGCAATCTTTACATTTCATCTGTCACCAAACTCCCCTAGTAATCAATGGGCGACGCCAATTGATCAAATTCTTTGGATTTCTGCGTGCTCTGCTCGTTTTCTCAACTGGGGTTTCTCCAATTTTTGAACTTTACGGGTGCCCACATGGGATTGGGACTCGATCGAACACAGAGCGACGAAGGTTTTGTCGAAGTGATTGAAGAACAGGGACGATGGAATCGGAGCTGGGTTTAATCGAACAGTCGTTGATCAGCCGCTACTCTCTCTGTGTGCTCGAAACTCTGAGCGAATTGCCCGACAGCTTCACGATCACTGACCCTTCGATTTCCGGGCATCCAATCGTGTTTGCGAGTAAAGGGTTCCTGAAAATGTCGGGATATTCGAAGAACGAGGTGGTCGGGAGGAACGGCAGAGTGTTTCAGGGTCCGGGGACTTGCAGGCGGTCGGTCATGGAGGTCCGGGAGGCCATCAGGGAGGAGAGAGCTGTTCAGGTTAGTTTGCTGAATTATCGGAAAGATGGGACGCCGTTTTGGATGCTGTTTCATATGTGTCCTGTTTTTGGGAAGGAGGACGGGAGGGTGATTCATTTCGTGGGAGTTCAGGTTCCGATTTCGAGGAGGCCAAGGCGGTCTGGTGGGAGAAATGGTGTTGGTTTGTGTGAGGAGGGGTCTAGGATGAGTGATATTGTTTACGGGTCGTGTCGAAAAGAAGTGTTCTTTGATTCGTTGGTTGATTTGCGTCGTGTTTTGTCGTTGGAATCTGCATTGGATGATGCTGATAATAGAGGTTCGTGTTCCTTAATTTTTTGTTCCAAGTAATGTTGTAATATGTTTCTTTTTCAATTGTTGTTTCCTGTTATCTATATGATTGTTGGTAATGTTAATGTTAAAGTTACATTCCTTCCGGTGTTCGAGCTATGTTGATTGCGGTTTCTGGTTTTGGATGGTGACCAAACTTTTGTTGTGGTTGAGTCTTCGTTTACTATGTAACGCCCAGGATTTGACATTGAAGAATCGTGCGAGGCAAGTGATGTAGAGAAGACGAGAGCTGCAACTGCGATTAATAACATCTTGTCCGTGCTAACGCACTATAGCGAGTCAATGGGCAGATTAGTTTGTGGGAAGAGATGCAGCTCATCAGGGGTGGGCCTTCTCAGTTCAGCCTTAAATATATCTCTTGGTAGAATCAAACAAAGTTTTGTATTGTGAGTTGTTGCAAATTCTCATTTTCTTACTTTGCAGAAGGTTTCAAACTTTCTCAAGATTGCTGATGATTGTACATTTTGTTTGCTTCGAAATGATTGTGTTGCCTTGCAGAACTGATCCGAACTTACCAGACATGCCAATAGTTTATGCAAGTGATGCCTTCTTCAAACTGACAGGTAACATGTACAATGTTAGCTATGTACCAGGGTCTCTCTAAACCATTCTAAACTCCATGTTGTTTGCAAATCTATAGAATAAGTGCGCATATGCAGTTACTGAACTCAGTGTTTTCCATGTATAGGTTATGCCAGACATGAAGTTTTGGGGCGCAATTGTAGATTTTTAAGTGGGGCGGAGACCGATTCCTCAATGATATATCGGGTATTTTTCCTTTTCCGTCATGATCATGTCATCACCATATACTTTGTTGGTTTGGTGGAATAGATAGATGTTAGTGCGTCATCCCATTTTTGCTTGTTTTCACCCAGATAAAGGAAAGCGTTCAAAACAAAACAGCATGCACAGTACGTATCTTGAATTACAGGTTGCTACTTAACGATTTATTCTATACTTTCCACATGCACTACATATTACTTATCGGATTTGACTTTGTTGCTGTTTCATTCTCAGGAAGGATAAAAGTTCATTTTGGAATCTCCTTCACATATCACCCATTCGTAATGCTTCTGGAAAGGTATTTTATGGCTAAAGCTTTCACGACTCAATTTTTTATATTGTTAATGGCTTTTTTTCAATGAGACTTAGTGTGTCGACTTGGTGTGCCTTGGCTTAGAGAAAAGTAAGGCAGAACATCGTTTTCAATTGATCAACCTTTTCTGGCATACAAATATGAAGTTTCGCTGTCCGGCGACTTAAGTTTTCTTCATTTCTTCTCTTGTATTGGGATTGCTTCACACAGTCAATTTCCATGTTTGTGTGCAACTATATGAACAAATGAGAAAATTATGTGAGCTTAGACATGATGACCTTGGAGAGATGTGTTGGCAGAGCTGTAACCATGCGCTTTGTGTTGCACAAGTAATACTGTTCTCAAGAGCGATTCAGTTTACTGCTGCAAACATATATGTGACACATTTGTTTGATTGCATAACCACTTTGCACCGTCATGTTCAGCTCAGAATATGTTTTGGGGTAAATTCAGAATAAGCTATTGGCCATCCGTATGCGTATTGCACAACTAAAGTG